GATAGTGACCACTTTGAATACCTCTTGTATTTGCAGAGTCCAAACGTGACTTGTGTTCATCTTTTGTTATTGGTATATATTGAATACTACAATTTTAATTTCCTTTTTAAAATATCTTTTCCTTTATTAAAATGTATATACCTTTTCTTGGCACTATCTGTATTTGGAAGAATGCTCTTCCCTGTGATTCTTATGCCCTGTGGTCGATCAGACTCCCTTGTCACTGCCAGCTTCCCCAGGAGTATGCATGGTCGCCAGCCTGTGTGCTGAAGGTTTCTCTGGGAATGAAGTTTTATTCAGATAGCAGGGGTTATGATTCATCTCCTTAGAGTGTTTTCCAACATTTTGGTGTTTGCAATACTTTTCTAACTTTTTATTGAAAAATACTTTACATATAGAAAAGTGCCAATATCATAAATATTCAGCTTTTTTGTTTGTTTGTTTTTTTTAGAGACAGTCTCACTTTGTTGCTCTTGGTAGAGTGCTGTGGTGTCACAGCTCACAGCAACCTCCAACTCTTAAGCTTAAGCCATTCTCTTGCCTCAGCCTCCCAAGTAGCTGGGACTATAGGCACCCATCACAATGCATGGATTTTTTTGTTGCAGTTTATCCTGGGGCTGGGTTTGAACTCGCCACCCTCCGTACATGGGTCGGCACCCTACTCACTGAGCCGCAGGCGCCATCCATAAGCGTTCAGCTTGATGAATTTTCTGAATTGAACCTATGTGTTGCTATACCTGGGTACCTGTGCTGCTTCCGTTAACTGCCCCCAACCTGACTTCTGACATCATAGATTTGTTTCTTATTCAACATCATGCTTGTGAGCCGCCCCCGCCCCCATCTTATTGAGTATAATTGTGTATTATTCTCACTGTGATATATTTTACCATTGGTGGGCATTTGGGTAGGTTCCAGTTTGTGGAACTCCCTTCTGTATTCTGGGAGTCCAGGACTGCCCTCTCGTCTCTGCGCCCTGCCCTTCCCCTGACCTGTTGTGTCCTGCCTCAGGTAGGACTGTCCTCCACTACACATGGACTCTTCAGGACCTGGAGTAGTCCCGACATACAGCACTCTCAAGAAGTGTGTTTGGAATGGGGAGGCTGGTGCTGACCCCTAGACTGAAGGAGGTATTGAGGGAAATGCCAGGTGGCCCGTAAGCTCCTCCCACTGGAGTTAAGTAGGTCGAGTGGAAGCAGATCCCAGATGCCAGAGAAGGACCCTGTGGTGGGGAACGTAGGATGAGCAATTCCAGAGGCTCATTTTCTTTTTTTTTCTTGAGACAGAGCCTCAAGCTGTCCCCCTGGGTAGAGTGCTGTGGCATCACAGCTCACAGCAACCTCCAACTCCTGGGCTCAAGCGAGTCTCCTGCCTCAGCCTCCCAAGTAGCTGGGACCACAGGCACCCGCCACAATGCCCGGCTATTTTTTTGGTTGTAGCCATCATTGTTGTTTTGGCGGGCCCGGGCTGGATTCGAACCTGCCACCTTAGGTGTATGTGGCTGGCGCCGAGCCCAAAGGCTCATTTTCATGCTAAACAACAAACTGAAATGTCTTGGTGAGAGGTACACATGTAGCACTTGATAACATTTCTTCAGGGAAAGTAGTAGTGACAGCACATGTTCTGTCTGTGGTGGGAGCATCACAAGTGTTCTTAGTGGATGCCAGTTTCTCCAGACCCCTTGTTTTTGCCCACTCCAGGCCTGGGGATTAATATGTCTCTTTTACACTCCCTGCTTTAGGTTGCTTTGCGTGTGGGATGGAAAATGGATTCCGAGTCTATAACACTGATCCACTAAAAGAAAAAGAGAAACAAGGTAAGGAGGAACTGACATTTCCCAGTTTCTCCCTTTCATATCCCCCAAAAGCCTAAATTTTATCTTGCAGACTTGTTTTTGAGAAACAGACAGGATTGTGGCCCTCCATAAACTTGGATGGAATTGCCTTGTCCTTGAGTTTCTGTGGGTGTGTGGCTTGTAGAGTGCTAGGGTGCAGCTGTGTCAACAGGTTCATCAGCCCAACTCTGATTTCTCCAGTGAACTGGCAGCCAGTGTGACTTGCTTGGGTCAAGATTAATAGAACAAAGTATATTTAATTCAGGCCATTTTTATTTTTTTTTCTTAGTGAATGTAAAACTGTGGAGAGGTCAGGTGATAGCTTTCGTTGTGGCATATAAGCCAAGAGAGTTAAGAAACTCTTGGTAGGCTCAGCGCCTATAGCTCAACC